GTCTCTGACCCCTGCAGTCCCTGGAGCCAGGTGATAGCCCAATAGGCCGGGTCGTGGCCTCTGGATTTCAGGGTGGGCATGTCCCCCCCTGGGCCCCACTGGGGCACTGCCGTGGTGGGCGGGGAGAGGAGGAGGAGTCCCTGCCGTGGGGGGTCTGGGGCAGCCGGCACAGTGGGGAGGGGATGGAGGGAGCAGGGCCCTGCCCCAGCTCCGGGGGGGTCTGCAGCTGCTGTGGTCCAACTGCCTCTGGGCCAGGAAGCAGCTGCTCCCCCACCCTCGCCCCCAGTGGGGCCTGGGTCTCCGAGCTGGGCGGGGCCATGGGCAGAGTCTGCCTGCTCTGGTCACGTGTGCTGGCCGGGCCTGGTGCCTCCCAGCCCTTGGGGTGGGGGTGGGGGTGGGGGCAGCGGAGCCGTCCCGGGAGGGAGAGTCCACAGGGCACCTGGGGGCCTGGTCGTCCCCCCGACTCCCGTGCCCTCTAAACTTAGAAACTGCCCCATCCAGCGGGAAGCCCCATCAGCCCAGTGCTGGTCTCCATGGCCATGAGCAGCTGGTTCTGTGGGTGGCGGCCTCATCAGCGAGGTGAGCAGCGCACCGGCAGGACCCTGCTGGAAAGCTGGAGCCTGTCTCTAGGGGGCTGATGCCCGAGCGCATGCTGGGCAGACCCTGGCTGGCGAAGGGACCCACGCAGGGGATGCTGCAGTGAGGCAGCCTCTGGCCGGGGCGGGGAAGTGCTTTCCAACGTCTGTCTGAAAATAGACCAGCCTGCTCACCAGGAAATGAGTCCCCCGTCACGGGAGGGGGCGGGGTCTACGATCTGTGACCCTGAGCCCTCTGGTCTCCCGCCAGCTGGCGTCCCAGAAGTCTGGGCACAGGGAGGGGAGAGGGCCGGGCCCGTCTGGGCCAGTGGGCATGGCTCGCGCTCCCCGGGTGGGACAGGGGACTTCCCTCTCGGTCTGGGAGTGTTGGGGTGGGAGGCATTCCGGTCCCATGACCCCTCGGCTGGGCCACCCCCCACCCCCGGCCTCAGCTTCCCTTTCTGTTCCGTCAGGGTCAGGCTGACACTCTGAGGTCACAGGGTTTGGCGATCCCCAGATCCTGGGGGCCCAGGCTGGCTCGGCTGGCTGCGGTTTCCATGCCTTCAACAGAAAGCTGATGCCAGCCATGAGGGGCATGGCACAGGGGAGCCGGGAGCCCCTGGACTGGGGGCCTGGACTCCTCTGTGCGACCCTGGGGTTCTGGGGAACGCAGTTTGAGAACCAGGGCACGGCAAGCACGGGTGGGAGGGACAGCACACTCCCAGACAGCACCCCACCCGGATTCCATGGTCCCCCAAGTGCCGGAGGCTGAGGAAGGTTATTGCCTTTTTTTCAGCTAGAGGGGAACCCCCCAGGGCACCTTGTGACCAGACAGCTCTGGCACAGCAAGGAGGGCAGAGGTCGAGGACGGAGCTTGGTGGGCCCGAGGTCACAGCCAACATCAGGTGGGACTGAGAGTGGGCAGAGGGAGAGGGTCTCTTCCCTTCTAGGGGCAACAGATAGGGACCCCTGCTCCCGCTGGTGCCCCTCCTCCCCCTTCCTCAGGCTGAGGGGCTGGGAATCCAACAGATGAGTCACAGCTTCGATTCCCAGTCAGGGCACAGGCCTGGGTTGTGGGCCAGGTCTCCAGTAGGGGGCGTGCCAAAGGCAACCACACATTGATGTTTCTCTCCCTCTCCTTTTCCCTTTTACCCTTCCTAAAAAGAAATTAAAATCTTAAAAAAAAAAAAATGACGTCTCTGGTCTCCGTCTGGTTCCCGGCCCAGAGCTCTCGAAACCCTTGGAGTTTCTCCCAGACCTGGTCGGGCTGGCCAGGTGAGGCGAGCACCTGTGGCTGTGAGCAATGACCTTCCCGTTACCTGGGTTCCTGGCTCCCGCCTGGACCCCAGCACCAGGCTGTCCCTTGAATGTCAGGCCGCGACAGTGGCCACGGACCGGCCCTCTGTCGTGGACCGAGGGCAGCAGGGACCTTGTGTGGGGGGAGTCACTCTGCAGGGAAGATGCGGCTGCTGTCCCAGAAACGTGGGAGGGAGGGGGGACAGCATTTTCATCAGCAATCTTGACCCGATTCCTCTCAAATTGTGAATGGAAATCAACTTCCTTACTCAAGAGTAACTAAAGGGATACAGCAATAGTAACAGCAAGAGGGACCGTGGTTTCATTTGAGAGCGTGCTGCGTTTTACAAAGCGCTCCCCCATGAGAGCTGAGCACAGGCACAGCTTTCCCGGCGCTGGGGGGCCGGAATGGGCACCCCACGGCCTTGAGGGTCAGCCCGCGCAGGCAGACGTTTGCTGGCCACGGAGCAAACGGCTCAGGCTCAGATGTGTGGTGACCCTCTCCCTCCTTGCGCACGGAGTACGTCACACCTGGGACCCGCGCCTGCCGGCACGCACAGCACCCGAGGTGCTCCACGCCCAGCTCAGGGACCCGCTGTGTCCCTTCTCCCGGCTGCACGGCACTTTGCCCCTCGAGGTCCCATGGTGTGTTCAGCTGTGCCCTTAACAGTGACGACTCGGCGGTTTCCCGCCTGTTATCACGGCTGACGCCACAGCTATAAGCCTGGCACAGCCCCATCGCACTGGTGGGCAGGTGTTTCTGACACAGATTTCTGGACGTGAACAAGTCGGGTGCAGCAGGCGTCGGGAAGAAGCTGCCCCGACCCGCCGGCCCCCACCCACAGCCTGCAGGGTCCTTCCCGAGAGCCCAGCCGTCACAGGATGTGTTCCCATTTGGGGATTCTGATAAGACGGGGAAGGGACTGCAATGTCATTTTCATGTGCGTTTCTCTTATTATGGCCATCTGTCCCCACGTTTGCCGTGCAGTGTTCCCTCTCCGTGAATCATCTATTCCTAGCACCGCTTCGCTCCTTTTATTTGTCTTTTCCTTTCCTATTTCTAGAAGTCCCTGGCGCAGGAGGGAGGCAGCCCCCTGGGACGGGGGCCGTCCCTGGGACACGCTCTGTGTTCTCTCTCGGCTTCTGGCGCTCTTTGCTTGGAGCCTTTTTTTTTTTTTTATGGTGTCTGGATTTTTAATTATGATTAGAAAAGCCTTTTCCCACTCCAAGTTTTAAAGGAAGTCATTCATGTTTTCTTCCAGTAGTCTAATTTTTTTTAATCTATTTTTTTCTGTCAGCATTCTACACAACAGGAAAGTAACCATTTTAACCACTTTTGTGACCTAAGTGCATTCATGTTTTGGGGCGACCCTCGCTGCTGTCCATTTCTAGAACTTTCTGTCACGTAGCAGTTTCTCTCTGACCACGCTCACTCTTTGCCCTGGCTGTGCAGCTCGGTGGGTGAGAGCATTGCCCCGCACACCAAGGCTGTGGGTCTGACCCCGTCAGGGCACAGACAGGAGTCAACCAGTGAGTGGAACAACAAATAGAGCTCTCTCTCTCTTTCTCTTTAAAATCAATAAACAGTTTAAAAGAAGAACGTTACATCCCTGCCTTAGTCAGAGTGTCTGATCCTGGTGTGTAGTGTGGGTGAGCTGTGGACCCAACTTCACCTTTCCCAGTGGTTACTGTCCCTTTGCCCCATTTGCATTCACTAAAGGCTGTACCTGCGTTCGGTTCCATCAAACTCCTTTTAAAGTTGAGGAAACCGAGACCCTGAGAGGAGAAATGAAGAGCCCCCCCCTCCATCCCCACCCCCGCCCCAGCACGGTCACCGTCTCCTACTTCCACCTGCTTCTGACCTCCTGGTGCCCCGCTTTCAGGGCCGAAGGAGAATCCTTACACCTCACTCTTCGCCACGGAGCTCAACGTGAACAGACTGCAGTCAAGTTGGGAAACTGAGGGCCCCGGGGAGAGACTGGACTGTTCCCATGACTGGGGGATCCACAGGGAGGGGCTGCAAAGTGGGTGGTGGGAGAAAGGGGACCCCCTTCCAGTCCCAGGGGAGACCACAGCCTGGAGAGACCGGGCAACACCCCCAGGCCCTGGTGGGCCCGCAGGCCGTGGGCTGTGCCAGCTGCGGCCAGAATCCCAGCTGCCCCCCACGGGCCAGGCCACGCTGCAGGGCCGACTGCACACGCAAGGCCCACAGACTTCCTGGCACTGTCCCCTGTGTGTTTCCCAGGACTCACCCAAAGGCACCAGAGACCTGGGTCCCCCCGTAGAGGCCCTGCGTCTGTGGGACGCCTGCCTCCCCCACCCCCCAGCCTTGGCGGTTTCCTCCATTCACGACTCAGACAGGCAGCCTCCTGGGGGCAACTCCTTGCCTCCCAGAAGCCCTCAAGGGGCACCGCCTGCGCCCCGTACTGAGCAGGTCAGGCCGTGCCACTTCGGATGGGCCACCTTGCCAGCTCTGTCCACAGGGGGAGCTTGCCCCACTCACCCCGGCCGCCCTGGCGGGGGTTCTCCCGGGACCACCACCAGCGGGGGCTCAGGGCCTCCCAGCCGTGGGTCCTGAAGCCTGCTTGCCTCCGAGCCATTTACCACCATGTCACATGGTTGGCGCTCCTACAGAAGACCGGCAAGGCCGGGAGGTCTGCATGCCCCTGTCCCGCCCGTCTCTGCTTGTGAAAACCTCGGGACCCTGCGACCTGGCTGCAATGTCTGCAGCACTGTCCCGAGGCCAGCCCCGGGGACGGCGGGATGACACGGGGGACGTGTGGTGGGGCCCGCCCGGATATTACAGATACTCTCGGGACGCCCCACCTGCAGCGCAGGTGCATTCTGTCCGCCCTGTGCGGACGGGAGCTCGAGGAACGGTGGGCCGGCCGAGCGGCTCCCACGGCCGCGAATCTGCGGGATCTGCTGGGGCGAACGCGGCGGGCTCCACGCGCGTCCGTTCTGAGGCAGACCGGGCAGCCGGAGCGGGCCCCGAGGACTGCACGCGAGAAGAACGGGGAGGGGCCTGTGGTGGGCGGGGCGACACCGCGGGGCGGGGCGGTCCTGGTGGGCGGGGTGATGACGCGAAGGTGGGCGGGGCGGCGTGACGCGCGCGACGCCGATCCCGGAAGCGGTGTCAGATGCTGGGGAGCCGGGCGGGTGGCGCGCTGGCTGCGGGCGGCGGGGAGGACTTGTTGTTCTTCGCGAAGTCGGAGCTCGAGCGCGCGGCGGAGGCGGAGGCGGCGGCCCAGGGGGAGCGCGAGAGTGAACGCGAGCCGGAGGAGAGCGCGTGCCCGCGAGGAGCCGCCGCGCGCTCGCGGCCCCCGCGCGACGCCAGGTGCGGGGCCGGCGGGCGGGGCCTGGCGGGCGAGGGGCGCGGTGGGGGGCGGCCCGCCGCTGAGTCTGGGCCGCGGGGGGCTCTTGGCGAAGTTGGGCGGGACCCCGAGCCCCACGCCGAGCCCGCGCACCTGCCATCAGGTGTGCTGCCCGGGAGCGTCGCGCGGGCGGGGCGCCTGGTCGGGGCGCGTAGACCGGGTCGCCTTCATTTTCGGGGCTGGGGAGCAAGCCCCCCCATTCCGCCCCTTGTTGGGCAGCCAGGAGGGCGGGGCGGGAGTTCCCGCTCGTCTCGACTCCCCATCCCTCCCCACCTGTCTGCATTTAGCCTCCGGCGACCGACTGCTAGGCGGGAAGGCGGGGGCGAAAATAATCCACCACGTGCGGGAGCGCGTGGTCGCGCAGGGCTACTCCGCCTTCGGTACTTGGGCGCCTACGCGGCTCCGCGTGCTGTCCGCCGGCCTTGCGACCCCTTCCCACCGTGCCGGCGGCGGGGTCTACACCCATCGGGGTGGGGAGGGAAGGAGCTGGGGACTTGGGGATCGAGGTCCCGTTCTGAGTCGCGAGCCTGCCAGGGCTTCCCCGGAGGGAGGCCTTGGTGGGGCAGCTTGGGGTGGGGAGGAGGACTGGGCACGCGTGTCACTTCCCCCAAGCCCCTCGGCCGGGCGCGTTTTCCTCATCTGTGAGTGAAGTCTCTTCTAAATTTAAATGCGGGTTCTTCTGAGACTGTGCCGAGTTTAGGACACAGGGGCTGTGTCGGTTTATCCATTTACACACCTTCTCAGGACCCTCGAACCGGCCGGGACGGGCGGGGAAGTGTTTGACTCCTAGGAGCAAACTGCCTCCCGTAGGATTCTCCCGCACTTGTGGCGTCGTCACCCTCTGACAACTGCCCAGCGCAGGGCGGTTCTGCTGGGGGTTGCTGGGAGTTGCAGGCTCTCCCGTGTTAATGATTAGGCCCCTGTTTACCTTTCACACGGCTCTTCTGGCCAAGCACAAATGGGAACTTTTGCCTGACAGTTCATTCAGCAACTGGCCGTGACGCAGCTGCCCTCTCTGCTCAGGCGCACGCCCAGCCCAACAGGGTGGTGGAGTCAGTGGGTTTCCCACGCTTGTGTCTCGACTGCCCAACTGCCGCCCGGACTTCGGCTGGCATGGACGAGGCTGAGCCGTCGGCGCTCACAGCTCAGGTGTTCTGATGGAGCGCATCTGTGCAGGTGTGCAGGGATGCGGCTTCCGGAGCCGCGGCTCCACATCTGTGATCCTCGGGGGCGGGAGCTCTGGGAAAGTTACTCTGGGCCGGTGGGAGGGGTCTGGGAAGTGGACGGTGGGCAGGACACACTGGCCACCTGTTGCACTGTGGGTAGCTGAGGAGCTTTACGCACTTCCCTGCCCAGGTAACCCAGCAGGAATGTTCAGAGTTGGATGGAGCCTGGTAGAGGGGATCCGCTCGTATAACTGAGAGCTAGACTCTCGTTGAAAATAAAGCGTTCAGACACTGAAGCACCGAGCCCGGCTGCTCCCGGGAGCATTTGCTTTGTGCTCCTGCACAGCTGGACTGCGGGGGGCCGCTTCCACGCCCGGGGCCGCCCACTTTCCAGGTGGCTGCTCAGATGAGAGTGGAATGGAGACCGTGGGGAGTGGGCTCTTGCTGAGCCGGGGGCTCACGGCTCCCGCCCGAGGCCCCCGATGCCATCCTTTGTCCGCAGCTGCGCCTGCCCCTCTGCGAGGCTCCCGAGGCGGCCACCAGCGGGTTTGTTTACAGCCTCTCTCCCGCGGCCTGGCTGCTCCTGAGTCTAAAGGTTTCTGGAGTGGACTTGCTGGATTTCGGTCCGGTCCACACGGGAAGTGCAGCCCCGGCCAGCTGGGCCGCTCCTCAGCGCAGTAAACAGTGACTCACCCTCCCTGCACGGCCCCCCCACTCCCCCCAGTGGAAGGTGTGCGGCTCCCTCTGATGTTTACTTTTGCTTTTCGTAATCACACACTGGTCGTGCTTCCTCTTTCCTGCAGTTTCAGGAAGTTGAAAGTGTCATCTGAAAACCGTAGAGTTTTAGGGCAGGTAGGGGTGAACCGCGGATTGCCCAGGGCGCACAGGCTCACGCACAGCCACTCATGCACTCACAGTCACACACACACACACACACGCACACACACACGCACACATGCGCGCGCGCACAAACACACCCCCCCCCCATTAGATGAGGGAGCCCAGCCTGGGTGCCTGTCCTGGCCGGTGGTGGCCGGGCTGGGGCAGCTGCAGCCGCCTGCCTGCTCTTCTGAGCCGCCTGTCTGGGTGCCGGGGCCTGAGGGGGGGAAGCCACCTCACGCCCCTGCCCGGGGTAGGGGGGCAGAAGTGGTGTGAGTGTCCCCCCTGCCCCCAGGCTGGGAGGCAGGCCTTGGGCGGGAGGACCATGACATTGACAGGCCCTTGGGCAGGGCCCTCTGTACTGGGGGAGGGGGGGGCTTCCTGGTGAGGCCCAGGGTGGGGGAGGGCAGGCAGGGGGTGATGGGGGAGAAGGGTGGGAGCCAGTGCAGATTTGGGGGTACTCTAAGAAGCCATTTGGGGGAGGCCTCGAATGTGACAGGTGGCTAGGGCAGGGGGGCTTTGGAAGGATGCTGAGCAGAGGTGGGTGCCCCTCTGCCTACCTGTGAGGGTGGCATTTGGGTGCCTGGGTCAGAGTCGGGGCTGCAACAGGGGGCTCGCCTAGCGGGAACGGAGCTGCCAGGCTGCAGCAGGGACACTGGGCCGCGGCCAGCCGGCCAGGGCCAGGGCGTGGACGTGCGAGGAGAGGAGAGGCCTTGGGGGCAGTTTCTGGGGCTGTCCCCTGAGTTGGAGACACAGGAGGAGGGCGGGGTGAGGTCCACCAGGTGGCCCGGGGGGCGCCCTGGCTGTGTGGGGAGTTTGGGCCGGCTGAAGTCCTGGGCTGCGTGGGGTGGGCTGGGGAGAGGACGGAAGCCCGCAGGGGAGCCTGGAGGCCCACCCAGAGGTGCCAGGGGAGCGGGCCTGGCTGGAGCTGGGCGGTGGGAGCCAGGGTCCGGGGCACGGCCGGCCGGGGGCGTGGCGCTCAGCCGGCCGTCAGCCACCGCTGGCTGAGTCACCTCTGCTGGACGGAGCCAGGATGACACAGCTCCCCCGACCGGCACACGCAAGGTGACCAGACGTCCTCCAGGCCCGGCAGACAGTCACGTCTTGCCGGAGGGCACCCAGCCAGGGCCAGCCTGCAAGCTGGGTGTGAGCCCGGCTGGTGGGGTGCCCGGCGAGGCTCTGTGGGGCGCACCCCAGGGCAAGGGGAGCTGGCTGTGTCCGGCACGGGCAGGGCGTGGGGAGCCCTCCCGGCTCTGGGAGCCGCCGGCGGCCGGGCGCCTTGTGCTCTCCGTGTGGGCCCCGCCGTGCTCGCAGTGTCGCGGCCCCGGGAGGGGCCTGCGGTGCTGGGTCCCTTGCAGAAAGGCCCCTGGCCCCCCTCGGGCAGAGGCGGCCACACCAGGTGGTCAGGGTGAGGCAGCTGCTGCTCCCCCGGGAAGCAACCGCTTCCCTCCTTCCCTGCCGCCCCTGCCCTTGTCCGGGACTGTGTCCTGAGACCTGCGAGGACCTCGGGACGGGCGCTGGTCTCGGTCAGGTGGGCTGGGAGGGCTGGCCCCGCCTCGGTGGTCCGAGGCAGCCGCCTTCTCTGCGCGCGCAGGACGGGGGCAGCTTTCTTGAGCACCCCCCAAGCTGAGCGCCGGGCTCCGCTTCCTGTCCCCCGAGGCTCACTCTAGGCTAGGCACTGGGCTGTGTCATCTAGGTAAGAAGTAGGGTCTTTGAGCCCTGGCTGGTGTGGCTCAGTGGATTAGGCATCGCCCCACGGACCTAGAGGTCGAGGGTTCAGTTCCCCGCCAGGGCACCTGTCTGGGTTGTGCTCTGGCCCCCAGTTGGGGCGCACACGAGAGGCAACCCATCCGTGATGAGGTTTCTCTCCCTCTCTCCTTCCCTTCCCCTCTCTTTAAAAATAAGTAACTAAAACCTAAAACAGAGCCTTTGAAACTCTAAAACTCCCTTTTCTGCTAAGTTATCTAGACCCAGGGCTGTTTGGGTGGGGTCGCCACCCCTGGCTGGCTTTATCGATGGGCCCCGAAGCCGGGCCCAGCCCAGCGCCAGCCGGCAGGCGGGAAGGCCAGGGCTGTGAGCCGCCCGGCGGGGCCCAGTGAAGGCAGTGGGCAAGCAGCCGGCGTTTGCTGGGAGTGGAGGGTCCGAGAGCCCTGGGCCGCAGCCCACCTGCCTCCAGGAAGGGCGGTCCTGGACTTGGAAGCTGGGCTCCCCGCTCTTACGGGGCTGGAAGGGGAGGGACGCCGGACCCTAATGCACCCCAAACTGCCGTGGCGGAGTGGCCACCCCTCTGCCGGCGGGACTGCTCCCGGCAGGGGAAGTGAGCTCTCCTGGTCGCGGTGCTCGGTCGCACGGCCGAGGGGGGTTCGGGCGTCCGGTTGGAAAGCAGTGTCTGTGGTGGGGGCAGTGGCCCCACCGAGTGTCCGAGTGGCAGGTGTGCTCTGCACACTTGGTGAGCCAGCAGTGTCGCTGGGGCTGCAGGAGGTGAGCGTGGGACTGTCCCCGAGGCGGAGGAGCGGTCCCCACAGTGGCATGCGGACCCGCCCGGCCAGTGTTGGGACTCCCTGCGTGGTGCATGGTTTGAGCTTTGATCTCTCGTGGACAAAGGCTAGTGCCTGGGGCACCTCACGGGGAGCAGCCGGCGGGCGCCTTTGGTGCTGACCAGTGCGCTGACTAACCAGTAGTGCTGGTGCGGGGCCGGGGCAGCGGGCATCACAGCCACCAGGCCGCCCAAGGCTGCGTCTCTGCCCAGCTGGGCCCTGGGTCTCTGAGCACGGAGCAGCTCCACCTGCACACCGGGCGACCTGCCAGCACCTCGTTCAGGGCGGTGGTTCTTGTGTGGCCCTCACCCGGGGGCGTGTTTATCGCTGTTAGGGCGGGAGAGACGGACAGATGGACACTCATGTTCGAGGGAAACACCGCTCGACTGCCTTCCATATGCGCGCGCCCGGCTGGGGATCGGACCTGCGGCCCAGGTGTGCGCCCCGACCAGAGACCGGGGCAGCCACCTTTTGGTGTCCAGGGCCAGCCGACTGCCCGGCCAGGGCCAGGACGGCGGTTCTCACGCGGCTGCGTCGCAGACGCTCACGCTCGTGGGGCACAGTCCAGACCTCCCGGAGGGCAGGCTGCCGTCCGTCTCCCGTGTGCAGTCGTGGGGTGCTGGGCACCACGGCCCTGACTCGGGGGCAGCCCGCCGGGTGCTGGGGTGGGGGCGGTGCTGGGGTGGGGGTGAGGACGCCGAGGCCTCCTGGGCGTCGGACTCAGCAGGGTGGGTCCCAGGAAGTGGGCGGGGCCCAGGTCTGCTCCTGACGGACTCCTTGTTGGCCCTGGCCCCTCAGGCTCAGGGGGACCGGGCACAGCCCCCACCGGGGTCTCTCCCCCTGCCAGCCCTCAGCCCAGCCGAGGTGCTGGAAGCTGGGCAGGCCCCGGGGCCCCTCCCCTTTCCGAAGAGGAGGTGGAGATGCAGGAGAAGGGGTTTGCCCTGCTCTTCCCGAGCCTGATCTGGAGGTGGCGGGCCCCCCCGCCCCAGCATCTGCTCACATTCGCTTCCCTGGCCACCCATCGCCCACCCGTCGAGCAGACGACCTGAGAACTGCAGCCAGGTCCTGCGGTTGGACCCCAGGTCGGGAGGACCCTGGCCTCTCTGCTGCCTCTGCTGAGGCTCCTCGAGGGGTCCCCCCCCCACTCGGAGGGGCGGGGCCAAGCCCGCACGTGCTGAGGCCGCGTCCCTCCCCGAGTCCCAGCAGGGTCGTGTAGCGGCCAGCTCGGACAGCAGCACCCCCACCCCGCACTCTGCCCCAGGCCCGTGTGCTGGCTGAGCTGGCCCTGACCCAGCCGTCCCCCGTGTGTCTGGCCGGGTCTGCAAGGGGTCTGCTCAGGGCCAGCCCTCCCCGCCTTCTTTCTCCTGCGCCCCCCCCCCGGCGGGCGGGGCCGGTCTGTGGGAATGTGAGCTTTTGCTCTGTAAACAGCTGGTGACTCAGCGCACAGCTATGCCCGGCGCCTCCAGGCCCGGTGCGCTGACGCGCGGCCGACCGGGAGAGGAGCCGCCGGGCCGCCGCCGCCCTTCCGTGCACAGCGTGGAAATGCTCCTCGGGGCCCCCGCCGGCTCTCCCATGCGGCTGGGACCGCAGCCCTGCAGGGTGGGCTGGGCCCGTGGGCCACCCCAGATGCTGAGGGCCAAGCCGCTGTGGGAAGCAGCTCCCAGCTCCTTGCCAGGATCCCCCCACACTGGGCCGACGTCTGGGGCCCAGTGTGCCACCACTCGAGGGGGCGGGGGGTCTCTGGCTGGCCCTGCTCTCTGCTGCCCTCTGTCGGCGCCCAGGACAGCGGCCCCGGGAGGGGGCTGCGGCGGGGGTGCTGAGGCCCCATGTTGGGTGTGCAGCCTCCTCCGGTGCTGAAGGGGCGGAGGGGCCAGGTGGTGCAGCAGGGGTCCTGCAGCTGCGGCAGGGGGGGTGGGGGGGTGGCACCCCCCGTCGGAGTCTGGATGGGGGTGGAGGCCGTGGTGGGGCTCCGTCTCTGGGGCCCGAGGACCCTCCCCGAGTGGGGTCTCCAGCCCAGGTCGCCTCGTCTGTGGTCAGGGACCTGGACCCCAGGCTGTGCGCTGGTGACCCCGCCAGCCGTCAGCCTGCTGTGGGTGTCCTCTGACCCCGGGCAGAGTGGGCACAGGGGCTCGGTGACCGTCCCACAACCTGCGATGTCTTCCCTGTTGGCCCAAAGCCATTGTTGCTGTGGGCTTCTCTGTTTCCATGACGACCATCAGGGGTTGGCTACCTCCCAAGGTCTCCATGGCAACTATCAGAGGGGAATCATGCTTGGGATGCTTGGCTGGCTTTTTCGTGAATGATCAGAATGTGTGACACAATGCAGACGCGCACACGGGGCGGGCGGGCGGGCGGCGGGACGGCTCCGCCAGACGAGCAGTGAGCTCTTCAGGTGGCGGCCGCCCTCCCGCAGGCTCCCAGGCCACTGGTGGGGGCCGCCCAGGTGGGGCCGAGATGTCACCGTGGCGGCGGGGCCCTTGGCAGAGGTGGGCCGGAGGGGCGGGGCCGGGCCGGGGTCTCTCGGGGGTCTCAGGGCCCCACCCAGGGCAGGTGCTGCCCGGGGCAGGCGGCTCCTCCAGCGCCAGGGGTGGCCGACCCCAGAGAGCCCCGGCTCCGTGCACCCCCGGCCGTGGATGGGGCCTCCACCCCCCTGGCGCAGACGCCCGTGCTCCGGGCGGGGGGGGGGGGGCAGCAGGGAGCCCATCTCCGGGGCCTGGTGTCCCCCTGGGGCTGGCGCTCTCGGCCGGGGGGCGGAGGGGAGGGGGCACTCCAATGGGTGGGCCTGGCTGCTCCACGGGCAGTTGCTGGGGTGGCGGGGCACGGCTGGCCGTGCTCCGGGCACAGTCCCAGGCCCGGCCAGGATGCCCGCCCCGAGGGAGACCCTCAGGGTGGGCAGGGGCCCCCCAGACCCTCGGGCGCTGCGACGGGACAGGAGGGCGAGCTGCGCCTTCCTGGAGCCTCGGCGGGGCAGCCTGGCCGCCTGGGACGCAGCCCGGCTGACCCCGCTCTCCCGTGCGCTCTTCCAGCTTCGACTTCCGAGCGGCTCCGTCCTGGTGACTGTGCCCGGGTTATGACGACGAATCCCAAACCGAACAAGGCATTTAAGGTGAGTGGGGCGGGAGCAGGTGGACCAGGTCTATCCCTCCTCCCCTGGGCCACCCTCCGAGTGGGAGGAAGGCAGCCTGGTCACCCGCAAGGGGGTGGGGGCTGTGGGCTGGAGGGAGTGTCGCTGGGAGAGGTGGGGACAGAGACAGGGGCCCTGAGCCCGGGAAGGTGGCTTCTGTGTGGAGGGTGGTGGGCAGGCCCCTCGTCCAGGTGCGGGCAGGTAGCTGGGCCCGCGGCCTGGGTCCAAGGGTCCCTCTCCGCTGCTGAGGCTGGCCGTGCCCCGGGGCCGTGGTCTGTGGACTCGGGATCCCAGTGGCATCTCCGTGCACTTGTGGGCCACGCGTCCCCAAGCCTTCCTGTCCCTGCCTCCCTGTGCCAGTCCTGCACCAGGCCCTGGGGGCCACAGGCGGCACCCACGCGGGCCGAGGCCTCGCAGGCTGGGGTGGCTGCTGTCACCCAGCGGCAGCCGGTGTCGCCGACACCCCCCTTGGGGAGGACCTGAGCTGCAGCCGCCGTGGGCGCGGTGCCGAGGCGCTCCGCGGCGGGAGGCGCGGGCAGCCTGGGCCCAGGCGCGGGGGCGGTGAGCCCGACAGACGCGGCGCCGTCCCCGGGGCCCAGTGCTGACCCGGCGCCCTGGCCCACAGGTCAAGAAGGAGGCGGGCGAGAACGCCCCGGTGCTCAGCGACGATGAGCTGGTGTCCATGTCGGTGCGGGAGCTGAACCAGCACCTGCGGGGCCTGTCCAAGGAGGAGGTGGTGCGGCTCAAGCAGCGGCGCCGCACGCTCAAGAACCGCGGCTACGCCGCCAGCTGCCGCATCAAGCGGGTGACGCAGAAGGAGGAGCTGGAGCGGCAGCGGGTGGAGCTGCAGCGGGAGGTGGAGAAGCTGGCGGCGGAGAACGCCAGCATGCGGCTGGAGCTGGACGCCCTGCGCGCCAAGTACGAGGCCCTGCAGACCTTCGCGCGGACCGTGGCCCGCGGGCCCGTGGCGCCCTCCAAGGTGGCCACCACCAGCGTCATCACCATCGTCAAGTCCCCCTCCGTGCCCTTCTCGGCCGCCTCCTAGTGCCGGGGGCGGGCGCCGGGGGGGCGGGTGCCGGGCACGTCCCCGTGCTCGTCCGAGGGTCTGTGGGGACAGGCCCCCCAGCCTCTGAGGGCCCACGTGCAGACTGCAGGGGGCTCCCACGGGGCGGCTGTGGGTGCTGGGCGGAGAGCAGGGTCCCGCGAAGCTGTGCGCCGCACACGCCTCCCCACACGCACCCACGCTCGCACTCTCGCACGCCGGTCTTCCTCGGGGCCCACCCGCCCCGCCCCCCCCCCGCCCCGGCTCTGCTTTCAGGGGCCTCCGTCCCCCCGGAGTCGGGATGCGTGGGGAGAGGCCTCCAGGAGGCCGCCGGCCGTGTGGCCCTGTGTCTTCCATCCCTCGAGCAGCTGCCCGCCTGCTCGTGGCCCGACTGAGCTCTGGGGCCCCAGGAGGAGCCTTCTGTGCCCAGTGTCCACACACACCGTGACTCTGCTTCAGCCTTAGCCAGAGCCCTGTGCTAGTGGGGGCGGGGGGCTGTGGCGCCCACCGAGCACTGGCCGCACCGGGGCCTTGAAGGAGCGGCTTGTCACAGGCTGTCCCTGGGGGGGGCCTGTGGACCCCCTGTGGGGAGCTGCCTGCATGTTGCGAATGTCAGCGTGTGTCGGGGTGAGGAGGGAGGTCCCTGGCTCCCAGCGGTCTGGCCTTGCCACCCCTGCAGAGCCCTGGAGGGTGGAGCCAAAGGGCCGGGGTGGGAGCCCTGGGGTTGGAGGGGAAGGGGGCCGTTCTGGTTCTGGGTGGGCCCGGTGTGGCTCTGACGGTGGGGCTGGGCTGCACCTGGCTCCTGACGCCGGGGGAGGGGAGGCTGGGTGGCAGGTACAGGTGGAGGGTGGTGGGTGAGCGTGAGGTGGGTGCACCTCGGGGGGTGGCCGGCGCTGGGCTGAGGGTGCGGTGCAGACCCGCCTCCCGGGGCCCCTGCTGGCCCGTTCTTGAGAGAACCTTGGTGCTCGGTCGTCGCCTGCAGCCTTCGCCTGAGCTCTCCGCCCCAGAGCCACGGCGGCCTTGGTGACCTTTGCTGGGGTGACCTCCCTGGGGCTGCTGCGGGTCCTCCCCGGAAGGTGCTGGGGGAGCTGGGAGCCCGGGCCCCCTCCCCCGGCCCCTCCCAGCATGACCCTGCAAAGTGCCAGGGCCCCGCCCCAGGCAGGGTGCCAGCCACGCCGTCCGCATTGCAGATGGGCAGCAAGTAGCTGGCCGGCTGGCCTGTGGCGGTTCCCTGTCCTGGGGGCCGGCTGCGTCCTCAGAGCAGAGGCCGGCGCAGGCAAAGCCGCTGGCGCCATGGCCGTGGCAGGTAATCCACATTGGATATCAGTAAGGACCATGGGGCGTATTTAAGAGAGAGAAGTATATATAAATAAAATTATACACAGTTTATCGTACAGATTTTTGTACCTTTTCCTGTTTGATACTGTAAACCCCTGGCCCCCCAACCTGTCCGTCTCCCCGCCTGCCCTCTGCTGGGTCTGCCGGGCTGTGCTCTGGGCCCGGGGGTCTGGCCAGTGTCCCCCGCAGTGGCTGCCCCCAATTCCCAGAGCGCCAGACCCCGGGGGACGCAGGGGGTCACAGAAGGAAGACTGGTGACGTGCCCCCTGCGTTTCCTGGCACATCACCGAGGTCTCACCGTCACAGTCCAACATGTGGGTTTTTTATTTAGGAAAAGGTGGGGACCCCTGTCCTGTGTTCTGCCTCCATGCTTTGGGTCGGGAGTCCCTCCCAGGGGGCCGCCCCCCACCACTCGGCAGTCTCATTTCAATATTTATTTTTGTGCTGCTTCCACCCCGACATAAATTATTGAGAGACCCTGTGTCGTGGCCCTCGTGCTCGAGGTGCGTGCCCGCCCGCCCGCCCCGCCCCCGCGGCCACCGCCTAATTTATTGCCGTGCGTCTCCGCTTTTGTAATAAAGAGTTCTCTGCAGTAAAGCGTTTCCTGGTTTCCGGTGCGTCCGCCGAGGAGTCAGTGCCCTGGCCGCCGCGTGCGCTGCGCCCGTGTCCCAGCCTGTCGGTGGGCCCCTCGCCGGGAGAGCAGGGCCCGAGGGGGGTGCTGCTGGGTGTGGGTCTCTGGGCTGCGAGGTCCCCTGGGCGGCAGGGGCAGCCGGGCTCACTCCAGGCTCATGGGCCCCCTCCCCTCGCAAGGGTGTGGGGGGGTCCCCTCGCTCACAGCCCAGCGTCTCGCCGCCGTCCTGCGTCCTCCAGAAGCCCCCGCTTGGGCAGCACATCTCGGGGCACCCACCCGCCACCTCTGCACCACTGGCGGGGCTGTGGGTGGCCGGCCGTGGGAGTGGGCAGGGCCTGCGGGGCCTCCCGGGTAGACAGGGCGTGGTGCGGCAGGTCCGGAGGGGCCCTTCCCCCTGGGGGTGGACCCTGGGGGAGGCTGCTGGCCAAGAGCATCCTGGGGCCAGGCCCCGCCCTGCTCTCTGAGACTCCTGGCACCTCTGCCTCTTCCACTGGTGATGCGGGAGTGGGCAGCCAGGGGCACCGGGAAAGGGGGTTGGCGGTGGCCCCTGGGCCTCCCTGTCTGCGGGCTCTCGGGCACCGCGCCACTGTCCGGCCCAGCTCCCACCCCACCCTGCTGGACACCTGGACACAGGACGGACCAAGACCCGCAGCCGCTGCTGCCCTGGCCCCTGCAGGAACCCCGACCTCCAGGCCCGGCCACAGTGCTCCAGGAGGCGCCCCCTCCCTGAAGGGCCCCCTCTGCTCCCCCTCTCGGCTTCCGAGGTCAGGCCCTCCTCCATCCGGCTCCACCCCCCGACGGACAGAGGGAGAGCCCGGGGGTCAGGCTCCAGGCCAGGCCCCTCTGTGCCCTCGGGTGGCACAGGGCGGGCCACTGCATCTGCCCTGCACAGAGCAGGACACTCCCCCAGCACCCCGACCCCAACCTGCCCCAGTGTGTGGGTCTGGGTGCCGGCCCTGAGGGACGGAGGCGCAGGAATCGCTAGAAACCCGGGTTTCTGCGTAAGCAGCAGCCCCGCCTGCCCCTCTGGTGGCCCCGCACCCCAGCCCACACGGGGTGCATCTCCCTGGGGTGGGGGGGGCCACAATGGCACGCTGCCCACGTCGGCCACCTGGGTGACAGCCAACTGCACCCACAGGTCCCTGGGCCCTCAGACAAGCTCCGTCGCCCGCCCACCGGCCTGGCAGGAGGGCTCTCGGGAAGAGCTTGACCTTCGGCGAGAGGGTGAGCGGGTGGGCGGGGGGCCCGGTCCTTCCCGGGGGCCAGACCACCCGGCCGCTAGAGCTCCTCTGCGGGGATCAGCGTCCTCTTCTCCACGTCCCGGCTCTTCCGGCCGCCACCAGCGCCCCCGGGCGGGGGGCCGGGCTGCGGGCCCTCCTGCGTGGCCTGCTGCGTGTAGTGCTGGTAGGCGGGTGAGAAGTTGTGCACGGCGTCCTGCACGATGTCCCGCGGGCTCACGGTCTCCCTGAGGCCGCTGGAGATGCTCTGCATGGCCGCTGCGGGGGCTGCGGGCGGCAGGTGCGCGGTCCGGCTCACCCCCCGGCCCCCGGGCCCAGGATGTGGCCTGCTCCCGCCCGCCTTGGGCTCAGCCCGGCTGGCGGGGACCCCTAAATGCTCATCCAGGTCCTCCACGGGGCTGTCCCAGCCAGACCCCCACCAGGGCCACCAGTGGGGGGGAGGCCTTGGCTGGCCGGCCCTGCCCAAATGGGTCATTCACCAGGGGGGCCAGCAACAACTGACCCTGTCCCCCACCCAGTCAGTGTCTGGTCCAGACCGCCTGCCCCCCCCCCAACCCCAGGGCCCTGGTGCAGCCTGTCCCGGGCCTGGCCCCACCTGCCCACTGAGTCAACCCTGCCCGGGCCCACGCAGGACAGGATGCAGATGTGAGCAGGGCACCGGGGAGGGTGGTGGCCACCCCACGCCAGGCCCAGGCCGGGGTGCCCTTCCGGGCACTGCAGCCCCCGCCCCCACCGGCCGCAGGGCCGCGTACCTGGCGAGCTGCCCTTCTTCTCCGAGTACACCTGGCAGGGGAAGGCGTAGCGCAGGGCGATGGCAGCGAAGAGCATCTCGACGCAGATGATGAAGTTCTGGTAGCCGGCGGCCAGCGTGCCGGCCCCCACCCTGCTCCCGTCCACTTCCTGGACCTCAGGGATGGCCCCGCACCTCTCCAGGATGGCCAGCAGCACCCCTGGGGGAGGTGACAGCCACTCAGGCGACCCCTGGGCAGGAGGCTGGGCTGGAGAGGGCCCCAGCCCAGGACCCCACTGCTCCCCGCCTTGGGGGCTTGGCCGGGTGTGCAGGGGAGGCAGGGGACAAGGGCCAGGCCCCAGACTCCCATGGCCCAGCCCTGGGAAGCCCGGCCCACCCACGTGCTCCCGGTCTGTGCAGGGGGAGACCCAAGTTCAGGGCAGCTCCAGAGCCGAGTTGGCTCAGTGGGTGTCTGAGAATCCCCCACAAGTCCAGACCTGGGCCCCCTCACACCCCTCGCCCCAGTGTGGGAAGGCCCAGGCCCAGGACAGGCCCCTGCAAGGCCCACACCAGCCAGCCCTGCACCGGGCTGTGCAGCCTCCCACCCAGGGGGCTGGCCCTCCCCGAGCCTGTGGGGGGGACGCCGAGGCTGGGCCTGAGGGCGCGGGGTGGAGCTGGGACTGGACCCGGGCTCCCTGGGCTGGGCGGCCCCGCCCACCCTGCCAGAAGGAGAGGAAGACCACGGCCTTGACGGTGAGGAACTTGAGGACAGGCTCGAAGGGCCGCAGGAGCTCCCGCGTGGCGACGTAGAAGAGCGTCAGGGCGTAGAGGGCCAGGCTGACCGAGGCGTTGTCCAGGAGGGCGACGTAGAGGTAGCCGCTGCGGATGCTGGGCCAGAGCGGGGGCGGGGTCAGGCTGGCCACGCCCCGCGCCCTCCCACCCATGCCCACCAGCCTGCCGGCACCGGCCCAGGCCAGCCCTTCCCTTCAGGGGGCAGGTGGCCCCGGAGCGGAGGGGCTGGGGGCACAGGCCTGGGGGGGACCCCCACACGGCAGGCAGGATGTGGCCCTGCCCCTGCCGCTCTGCCGCCGGCCCAGGTGCAGCCTGAAGGATGGGCCCTCGGTGTTGTGGACATGGGCAGGTGTACATGTGCTGCACTGTGAGCACGTGTGTGTGCGTGCTCCTCGGCCTGCGAGCCCTGGAGTCCGGTCCTTGTTCTCCCTCGGGTGGGCCCGCTCTGCCGCCGGCCCCAGGTGGGGAGAGACCGGTCCTCCTGCGCTGAGCCCCCTCCAAGCTCCGCCCACCTCCCCACGCGCACCTCCCAGCCGGTGCCCCTCCCTGCCGGCCTCACTTGAAGTCCCCATCGTGGTATTTGCCGACCGCCTGCAGGACGATGGTGACCAAAGCCATGCCGGGCTTCACGACGCAGAACTGCAGCGTGGCCTGGGAGTGGGGGCGGGATCGAGGGCGCGAGTGTGGCGGCCGCACGCTGGGCGCTGGAGAGGGGCGGGGCGGGGCGGGGCGGGGCGGGGGTGGGGCGACCCACTCACCTGCTTGCAGAAGCGCAGGAACCCGATGGAGTAGGCCACGCCCCGCAGGCAGCAGGTGCCGTAGAGGCAGCTGGACCTGGGAGTGCGAGTCTCTGAGGCCGGGCCCTGGGGGACAGGGCCCAGCCGCCCGCTGCCCGGGGCGCGGAGGGGCCGGCGGGCCCCGCGAGGGGGCGCTTACCGGACAGGCTTCCCCCGAATCTCAGCCATGATGGCGCTCTCGCCGCCCAGGTACTGGAAGCAGAGGCTCAGGAAGCTGTAAATGACGAAGGCTGGGGGGCCCGGCGGGCGGGGCGGGCGCCGTGAGCCTGGGCTGCCCCGGCTGCAGGACGTCTCCCGAACCCCCACGTAGGACCCGCTTCTCCGGGGACGGGCGGAGTCTCATGCCCACCGCGAGGCCCGCCCCTCGGGGCTCCGCAGCCCAGCTCTGGGACGCACTCCGCCCAGAGTCCCACAGCGCTCACTGGGACTCTGCCGCCCCTGCCTCCTCCCGGCCCTGTGCCCTTTCTGAACCCCGGGCAGGCCTGGCTGCAGCACCCCACCCCCACCCCCACGCCGGTCCCAGCTGTCAGGCAGCCCGCACCCTGGGGCCCCACTGAGCCGGACTCGGGCCCAAGGGCAGCCGTCCCTCCCTGGGCCCACACCGGCCAAGCCGGGGCCCTCACCTTCGTAGCAGTCCCGCACCGAGTCCAGGTAGATGTAGTGCTGGCCGGCCCCCAGGAGGAGGAGGCTGAGCCAGGAGTTGAGGGCGTAGACCGGCACCATGAAGAGCAGGCGGATGATGTACCTCTGCTCGTTGGGGACCGTGTAGGAGCGCAGGTGCAGGTAGATCTGGGCGAGGGTGGGGGGTGGCGTGGTGTCAGGGCCACAGCTCCCCCTGTGGGCAGGGGGAGACACTCCCTCATCCTGGCTCATGGGTTCAGTCAGTCAGTCACTCATTCACTCATCCGGGGAAGATCTCCCACCGGGCAGTCATGGACCCGGGGGGCACAGACATTCCGGGAGACACTCTGGCATCTCAATGGGGCGTGAAGGGCCGGTGCCCTTTGACCTGTGTGCAGAAGGGTGTCTGTCATGGCCACACACAGCGAGGCCCACGCAGTGGTGGCCGGCTCATCACACTGTGGTGCAGCCACACGCACTGGTGGGCCACAGCCAGGAAAATGGGGGTGCGCCCTGAGAGAATGCGTGTGGACGTGTGGGGACGGCGGGCCAGGCAGCCCCCCAACTGTGTGGGCCATGCACAGGCAGAGTGGAGAAGTCAGCGCTGCCTCGCCCCGGGGCGAGGGGAGACAGAGGCGATGACAGCTCATCTGTAAACTTTTCTAGGTTTTCTATGAGGAGGTAAAAAAGTAATTGGGTCTTTCAGAGGAAGAGGCACCGGGCAGCCAGGTGCAAAGGTGGCTGGCCACGTGGTCTCAGAGCACCCCGGAAGGCTTCCTGGAGGAGGAGCTGTGAGCACAGGGCGGGCCGAGCAGAGGGAGTGGCGCATGCAGAGGCCAGTGTGCCCTGCTTCCTGGGGCGCAGCCCGGGCACAGGCAGGGGCGGGTCAGCACAGGAAGTGCCTCCTTATCAGCTGTTCACGCCCTCGCTGACGCAGTGGGCAGGGCGCAGCGAGACCAGCCACTGGGGGACCCAGACTCTGCTCCCGGTGCCCGCCCCACCTCGCTGGGTGGCCTTGGCACGCTGCTGTCCTCTCCAGCCTCAGCTGCCCGTCTTTAAAGCAAGGGCTCCTGTCCCTGTCTGCCCTGCTAGGTTCTGGATGGGCCAAGGGCCTGGCAGCAGAAGTGGGCGGGGGTGGAGCGGGAGGGTGGGCCTGAGGGCTGCAGCCCTGGGGTCTCTGTCAGCTCTGTCTCAGCAGTGAGTCCTCAGGAAACACGCATGCGCGCGTGCACACACACACACACACACACACACACACACACACACGGCTGGTCCCCGAATGACAGAAGGTCTGGGCTGGAGAGAGGGGGAATCCAAGGCCCAGACTCTGGCTGGGACTGAGACAGCCTGACTCTGGGCGCTGGTGACGGACCACCCTCCTTGCTGCCCTTTGTCCTACAAATCGCAGCCTACGCCAGACCCAAAGCCATGCCGCCACCACGCAGCAAGGGGTGGCTTCATGCAAATACAGATGAGCCTTCCACCTGTCCAGTCTCCCTGTCCAGAAGCAGCTGGGTAAGGCTCTGCAAATACTGCCTCCTCCAGGCAGTCCTCCTTGATGACCCCACAAGAAGGGACCACCCCCTCCTGCCCCTCTCAGCTGCACCCGTGTCCACCTGGCCCATGCTGACACACTTGTCGTGTCTACTTTGTGTCTGTTTATTGGAGGCCACAAGGCAGGTGAGGTGACTTTCACTCAGAGGGCCAACCATGTCCCTGCTTGCCAGCCTCCCAACTGCCCCTGCCCCGGGTCACGTGCCCATTCATTTGCTACACCGGTGCCAGCGGACCCATCCTGAAGGGCAGCCTTCAACCCCGGCACCCCCGTGCTGAAGGCCACCCCCCGACCCTGACGCCCAGGCCGCCACCACCCCAGCCCGGGCGGCCCTCTGCCCAACCTGCTGCAGGCTCCTGCCTCCCAGTGCTGCTCACCTGCCTCCCAGGGGCCGCCGCGTCCTCCCCGCGCCCTCCTTGCGGTTGAGAACTGGCGCTAGCACGTGGCCCGCCCCTGCGCTCAGCAGACTCGCCCTGTGGCCACCCCTGGACTCGCCCCGGCCGCTGGGCCCGGTGCCCCCCACTGGGGCTGTCCTGTGTCCCGGCTGTGACCGCTCTGGGCTGGCAGGTGGCTTCCTTCCTGAGGGGTCTGAGTAGGAGCACAGCACCCCCCCCCACCCCCGCCGTGTACTGTCCTCTCCCTCAAGCTCCGACCAGGCTGCTGGCCGGGCCTCTGGAGGAGGAAGGGGCTTTCCCCTGCTGGCTCTGGGAGCCTGAGAGAGACCCCTGACCCCTCTTCCCGCCTGTGAAATGGGACAGCAGTGCTGAGCTCGGGAGCAGGTGAGGGGTGATGAAGTGCTCCCGCGAAGGGGGCCCTCTGTCCTCTGCCCCGAGGACCTTGTCCTGAAGCCCAGCACCACCGCCCCCCCACACCACACACATCCTGGACGGGCCTCCTCCCCATACCCCGGGGACTGCTCCTCCGTCCAGCCGGGCCCCGGGCCCCACCACCCCAGCAGGGCCCATCAGGGCCCGGCCGACGGTGGCCTTGTCTCACGGGGCCCACAGGAGGGGCAGCAGGAGGGCTTACCTGGTGGCAGGTGAGCACCAGGGCGGTCCACACAAAGACGCCCGAGATGCCATGGGCCAGCGGGGTGGTGAGGAAGAGCTGGGAGGCACCCTGGGAGCTGTTCCCCACATGGTCCCCTGGCAGGAGCCCCAGGGGCTCCGTGGGCATGGCCGCCGGGGGGGTGGGCTGCGGCCCAGTTGCTGGCGCCAGGGGGGCTCCACCAGCTGCCGGGAGCTCCGGAGCATTAGTCATCCGCCGAGGCTGGGAGGACTGGGCGCCTGGGCGCAGGAGAGAGCAAAGGTGCTGGAGCCTGGACGCAGCCCGGGGCTAGGAGGAGAGGGAGGCAGTGGGGAGGGGTGGCTCCTCCCCAAGGTGCTGGTGGTGGCGCAGGTGTTGGTCGCTGGGTGTTCCCCCGGCGGGTGGGTGCTCGTCTGACCAACCTGCCCACTTTTCCTGACACCTGCAGCCCTGGGCACCCTCTGAGCCTGGGGACCGGCTCCAAGACCCAGGCCTAGGGCACCTCCTTCTCCGGGGCTCAGCCACCAGGTGCAGGTGTCAGCCGCCTGACGGTGGCCTGGGGCGGTCCCCACATCCGGTGCCCAGGCCTGTGGGGAGCCCACTTTCTAGGGGCCACAGACATCTGGGAAAGTAGGGGACCCTGGTGCCGGGCAGGAATTCTGGGAGCAGGTGGTCTGGGGAGGTGCAGCCCAGCTGCCCCCGGCTTCCTGGGACCGTCCAGGTGCCCCTCTTCGCCACTCGGTGGCCCCACAGGCCCGCTCCCAGCCGTGGGCCAGCCCGCTGGGGTGCCGGGCACCTCCCTCCTCCCACACTCGCCCGAGGCTCTGTCCGGCCTCACCCCGTCTTCCTGCTCTAGTCACGGCCCGGCACCTACCTCTCAGGCAGGACGCTCTGGCCCAGCCCTGGGAGGCCTGGCCGGTCATCCGTGTGGCCATGTGGCCCTCATGGATGGCCGTCCACAGCGGGTGGGTCAAGCCCGCTGTCTGGGGGCCCTGGGAGCCCTGGGGAGGGGCAGCAGCGGCTTCATCGTGGGGTGGCCCCTGGAGCTCCACCTGAGCTCCTGGCTGCGGGGAGGGCTGAGGAGGCAAGGGGAGGAGCTGTGGACACTCTATCCCTCCTGGCTGTTGCTCGGCGGCAGCTGGCTCGCTGGAACCTGCTGGCTGCCAGGTGCCCTCACCTGCCTGCGCCACCTGGCCAGGCAGCCGCCTTCAGAAGACAGGTGGGAGGGTCTGCAGCGGGGCAAGGTGGGCGGAGCTGGGCCAGAGGTTTCACAGGGCGGGCCTGAACGGGGTGGGTGTGTGCGTGTCAGGGGTGCAGGAGACACCATTTCTATGGGGGGGGGGGTGAAGAGCTGTGCAAGGAGATAGAGTGGTGGTCACACCATGCCGTGGGTGTACTGAGTGCCTTAAAAATGGGTACGATCTTTCATGAGTTCACCCCAATTTAAAAAGTTCCCAAGAGGTGCATTGGAAACATTTCTGGTTGGGGGGGGGGACGGGGTCCTGCTTGGGAGCCAAAGGGGCTTGTGTTCCATGGGGGTCGGGAAGAGGGGTCTGCTCTGTGCTGTTCGGGGACCCCGGGGCTGGTCCTCTGTGCCACGGACCCTCCTCGTGACCTGGGCACCAACCAAGGTCAGGGCCTGCTTTGCCGGGTTTGCCGTGCTCTTTCAGGGGTGGGGGTGGGAGTCCGGAGAGGCTCGTCCGCATCTCCAGGGCCCCCCGAGGGCACGGGAAACTCTAGGAGGAGACCAACAACCCCTGGGGAACACCCCCACTCCCTCGAGCACGCTGCCCCCCACCCTCCGAGGGAACCAGCCCAGGACAGGCCCTGCCACTCAGTTCCGGCCCCAAGGCCCGGCCCAGCCTGCATCTCCCACCCCCAGTGGCCCACAGGGGCCTTCTCCGAGGACTTTTCTCCGGGCCAACTCCTGTCCTGCTGTCCCAGGTGACACCCCCTCTGTCCCGCTGCTGCGTCCAGTCGGCTGCCTCCCCGCCCCCTCGGGAGCTTCTGGAGCCCCGTGCTGCCGCCCTGGCCAAACCCAGGATGTGGGGAGCCAGGGCCCTGGGTGGCGGTGTGGTCCACCCTCTCCTGGCAAAGCGAGTCCTCCCTGCACGCTAACGGTGCCTGCCCCGAGCCCCAGCTGCCCACGCGCCAGTGCGCAGCTGGCGAGGGCGCCGGCACAGCGCCGGCTTGGTGTGCGCTGACCTGCGCTCACTGCCCATCGGCAGGATGGCTCAGGGGCCGGGGAAGCGGAGGCCTCGGCCCTCCCCAGAGGGATGCTGGGGACGGTGAGCACACAGTGGGAGGCCCTGTGGTGAGCTGCCCTGCGGATGTCCCTGGCTGGAGTCCCCCGGGGCTGCCTGCGGGAGGGCTCTGAGGGTGCGTGGGGCTCCAGGCAGGAACTTCCGGAGCTCTGTGCTCTTTCAGAGGCAGATAGCACTGTGCGGAGAGCCAGGCCGGAGGCCTGGTGGTCTTCCTGTCCCGTAGTTCTGCTGGCAGCAAGCAGGGGCAAGGGGATTTTGACATCGGACTGAGCTGATGTACGGCCAGAGAGGGTCCCTGATCCCTGGGGAGCCCCTCCGCTCCAGGCCACCCCTGCTCTGACCGTGGGGCCAGCCCAGCGTCACTCGGGGCTGCTCCCACAGCCATCCTCCCCTGGCATACTCCTGTTTAGCCACTGCCTCCAGGAAGGCCTCCAGAGAGCCTGGCTCTGAAGCTTCCCCACCCCGGAGCCTTCTGCACACTTGGGCAATGCCTTCGCCTCATGGAGCGGCTTTGGCTTCGGCCTGGCCCCTCCTGCCTGCACGCACCTCACGTGTAGCCTATAAGCCTGAGGCCCCCCCCCATCTGGCCGCCTGGGCAGGCCCCCCTACTGCTCTGCTTTCTAGTCTGCAGGGGAGTTCGAGGCCCTTCCCAGGGTACAGCACGCAGGTCTCTGCCACGTCTGAGGACCCAGGACAACCTTCCTTGCTGTGCCCCGAGCTCACGTGAAGGTGGCCATGTGACCCTCCCAGTGTCCGGCCACCGCCAGATCAAGGCCAGTGAGCAAGCAGGACACAGTGGACGGATGAGGTGACCCTCCTCCAGGGAACGGGAGCCCAGCTGTGCCGAGGCCCCAACAGTGAACGGAGGGTATGGAAATCGGGGGGCCAGCTCCTGTGTGCAGGAGGCTGGCAGTTCTGCCAGCCCAGGGCTCTCTGGCCACAAGGCCTGGTCCCGGGCGGCCAGGGTCATGGCCCATACATGCTCAGGAGAGGTGGCCGGGCCAGCTGGGCCTGACTTTCCTGCCTGGGGCTGGACGCCGACCAAACCTGTCACAGGACAGACCTGCTGGCCCAGATCTGGGCAGCCAGGCCTCTGACTGGATGACTGGGCTTCTTGGCAGCTCCCCGCCGGGCTGTGGGGTGGTGGAGAGGCTGCCGGCCGCCCAAGACCTCCATGCCCGCCTGCACCCCAGTGACCTAACACCTGTGCCTTTGCCTCAATGCTGGCACCGAACCTCCCTCCAGGCTGGCCTGCCACCTGGGGACACCGCTGATGGCAGGCGGCCCCTCTCCCATGAGACATGCTCCCTCCCTCCTTCCCCGCCCTCAGCTGAGAGCCGTGCCCTCTGGGCCAGCAGAGACAAGGTGGGGGCCCCAGTGATAGTGGCTGACCCGATAACCTGCCTGCCCAAGCCAGCACCACCAGGGCCCTTTGGCCCTCCCCTCTGGGGTCCAGGGGGTGGCAGGACTTGTCACTGGGCATCTGTCCTGGCACACGCATGGCCCCCAGCAGTGACCTGCAAGACAGGGGCAGACTGGGTGACAGTCCCAGTCTGGGGACCCCAAGCCATTTTTCCCCACCCCTGAGCCCGAGGGGGCAGGGGAACAGGTCCTCCCAGTGGTCTCTGGGGTCACTCAGGTGGTGGGTCAGTCAGGGAAGCATCGCTTCTTGGTGGCTGACTTCTGCTCACCTGGGCCTGGGCCCTGGCTCCAGAGCTGGGGGCAAACATGTGGGCCGGGACCCCAACCCACCACCCACTGTGTCTGTGACCCCGGGCCTTTGTCAACCTCAGTTTCCGCGGGTGATTGGAGCCCTCTTGAGCAGCAGGCCAGCCCCATCAGGGCAGGGGCCCAGTGGGCACCCGCCCCCTGTTCCTCTTACAGCAACCACAGGATGGGAAGGGGGGCCTGCTGGCTCTCTGGCCCCGTGTCCTGCCAGCCAGGAATGGCCTGGGTGGGCTTCTCCTGGTTTCTACGCCAAGGGGCTGGCCAGCCCAGCCGCCCTGCCAGCCCAGGGAGACCCACGCTAGGGATTCCAGGGCGTCACTCCATCCTCTTGGATCGCCCTCCCAAGGTAGAACGCGTGTACACCCAGGGCGCATCTGTACCTGCCCGTTGCCCCAGAGTGAGCTGCCGCCAGCCCTGGGTGTGTGCCCTGGGGAGCTGGCGCACTGACCTGGGCCTGGTCTGACCAGGCAGACCTTAGACCCTTTGGGTGCTGGGGACATCCCTGGCTGTCGGGGGCATGAACTCGGTGCAGGGGACAGAGGGGCTGTGACTCTCAGAGTTTCACGGTGTGGGTGTTTCTCTCCAGGAGCCCCCTACCCCGCTGGGGTGCTTGGGGCCGCAGCCTGGATACCACCCCCTCCGGTGCATGTGCACACAGGGCCTTGCATTTGGCACACGAACTTGAACGTAGGCCGTGGGACTGAAAGCTCAGTGCTGTGAAGGGTGGTGGAGTGGCCTGGGTTGCACACTCATCTTTAATACAAAACCAGTTTCTTCCAGTAGCTCAGACTGTACACTGAGGGCTCAGCCTCTCACTTCCCCATATAACCGGACCCCGGTGAGAACCGCCCCCGGCTCTCCCAATGCGGCCTCCACGTACAGTGCCGGAGGCCCAACTAGGTCTGCCGGGGACGTGCACAGCTCCTCTGGCTTCCGGGGCTGCGGCCGGGGCAGCTGCTCCTCCCGGCTGCTACAGACAGGTCTTCGAGTGGTTCGAGTGGCGAGCGTGTCTGCGTCCCCGCCGGGCTCCGCCCAGCCGCAGCATCACCACACCTGGCACGTCCGGATCACCTCCCGCACGGCCGCCAGCCCCTCCAGGCTCCGGTCCTTCAGGGCCACGGCGAGGAGGACTGCTTTGTTCCCGGCTTCCCGGGACACGGACGTCCCCAGGTGCTTGGCCAAGACGTGGATGAGCGGCTGGGGAGGGAAAGGGAGAACATCAATTTACATCTGTCCCCCGGCCCGCATGCCTTTGTTCAGTGCCCCTGGGAACCCAGGCTGGCCTCCCACCCCACCTCCAAATCACCGCTGGGTTCAAGGTGAGCCTCTTCGGAGGCACACCGCCAAAGAGATGTCATTCAGCTTATCTGCTTAAGGCTTCCTGATTCCCGCCCTCCCAGCCATGTCTGATCTGGGACGGCTCTGGAACAACAAGTCTGCGGACAAGAACTCTGTCAAGTCCCACCGTGGATCTTTCCAGAACAAAGTCCCAGGGCCACTCATTACCTCCATGTATCACAATAGGGTCCAACTGCCCGGAGGCTCTCAGTGCATAATCAACACCTCTGCTCGGCCGCAGGATCAAGGGCTGACCCCGGGGAAGAGCACCAGCTGCAGGCAGGCCCTGGACCGTGCCACCGCCTGGGGGCTGCCTACCGGACACCCCACATGCACATGGACCAGTGACAGCCACAGAAGCGGCTTTTCCTCCCCCACGGAGACTCCTAGCGACCACATTACCTCGTCCTGCCCGAGAAGGACTTTTGTCGTGAGCACGGGCTTGCTGACGTCACTGGCCACGTTGCTGGGCTCCAGGGAGACCAGGGTGCCCATCTTCCCGAACTGGGTCACCACCACCAGGATGTGGCTGCTGAAGGCCGTGCAGACCACCTGGGTGGGGACCCCACGCACCACTTCCGTCCTCTGTTTCGAGGTCACCAAAGGTTTGCCTTCCATGGCTGGGGCTCTCTGGTGGCACCTTTAGTGCATATAGCACAGGAAGGAGCGGAGGGAGGCAGAAAGGGAAGAGGAGCGAGTCAGCCGACGTCAGAGGCGCCCTGGCGCTCCAAAATGAGCATCACTCGGCCTTAAAACAGAAACAGATGCAGCCCATTCAAAGCAAGCGTCTCTGCCCACGCGGGCTTCCCCTGGGACTTTCCGGAGCCGCGGACAGGACGCGCGCGGGCGCGAAAGGGCGACGCCGATTGCGCCTTGGGGTCCCGAGGCGGGGCGGCCTCCTTCCCGGCCGCCCCCGCCCCGGCGCAGAGAACGCCCCGCGGGTTTCGCAGCCGGCGCCAGAGCAGGGGCGCAGCCCCGCCGGCCTGCCCCCGAGAGCTTTATTTTCTGCGTTTGGGGAAACGACCGCCAGGCCGGACGGAGACCCCGGAGGCGCAGGGCAGCGGACTACCTACTACCCTCCCGCCACCATCCCGCGCACGCTCACCCCGCTCGAGGCGCCCGGAAGTGACGCACGGGGCGGTGTGGACCCGCCCCCGCGCGGCGCGGCCCCACCGGAAGTGCAGGCCCCGGGCTTCCGCTGCCCCGGTCGGGCCTTCCGCCCTGTGAGTGGCTGCGTGCCTGCTCCCCGGGAGGGTCGACGGGGCGCCGGTGTACGCGGTACCTGCCGGTTGTTTGGAGAAAGGGCTGCAGCCCCGGCCGTGGCGCCGGCACCAGGCCCTGCGCGCGGGGCGCGCCCGCTTCTCTGGTCCGACCCCGGAGGGGTCCGGTCGCGGCCTTGGGTTCCGGGGTGTCGGGAAAACCACGAGGGAACGCCCGAGCCTGCGCAGACTTGTCCCAGTGTGCACTTTAGTCGGGCTGACCGCCGGCCGGGACCGCGTTCTCAGGCGCTCCGGGAGGGCAGTTCGCATCGCCTGTTAGGCATTTAGGACTCAGGAGGGGACGCAAGGCGAGCATCGGATGACGGGGAAGTTGAGAGTGCGTGCTGCTATTTCAAGCTTGCGTTCCCCTCGGCGCACGAGAACGGAGGACAGGGCTGCAAACCTAAGGCAGCCCTAAGCCTTTACTAGAGTCCTAGGCCTGGGCGGGACTGCCCACCCGGACCTGCCCAGCTGGGAAATCACGGTCAGCCGCCCTGGGCACTCCTTTTTCGTGCACGAGGGTTGTTCCCCAAGGCGCCCCGATACAGCCCTGGGCTCAATCCCAAGCACAGCCCGGGCCAGTGGGACTTACAGCCCAGGAGCAGGTGGGGTCATTGGGTTGGACATTACTGAGAGGAAGCATGGGGTGAGGGGGCATTCTGGCCAAACCAGCCTAGCGGGATTCTTGCTGATGGCAGGCTCAGGGCATCCGGCGGCCCAGGGGATGGTGGTCAGATGCGGAGGAAGGAGGGTTCTCGCTGAAGCTGGGAAACGCAGAAACAGCACAGAAGTCCGAAAGCAGGGCCCCGTGGAGCTCCAGTCAGGGGCTCCTGCTTAGAGCGAGGTGTAGCAGAGGGCCTTGGCCAGGGCCCTTTGCCCCTGCGCCAGTGCTGGGTCTGTGCCCTCCTCCCTTCCCCGTGCGCATCTGGGGACCCTTTCACACCCGAGGGAGTAAGAAGAAGAGCTAACATGTATTTGGCACCTAGTGTGTGCCTGGCATTGTTGTAATCTTAACAAGTCCCCAAAGTAGAAACATTTTAGGAGACAGGATGTTCAGGTTCAAGGTCACTTTTTAAAAAGATTTTAAATGTATTTTTAGAGAGGGGAAGGCAGGGAGAAAGAGAGGGAGAGAAACATCAATGTGTGGTTGCCTCTCCTACACCCCCAACCAGGGACATGGCGCGCAACCCAGGCACGTGTCCTGACTGGGGATGGAACTGGTGATCTTTCGGTTCACAGGCTGGCACTCAGTCTCCTGAGCCACACCGGCCAGGGCATGTTGGTTCTAAATTTAAACACATGTCTGCCCCTACACACAGCCCAGCACAACTTTGCAGTGTGGTGCCTCGCCACATGAAACCTTCGGGAGTTCGGTACTTAGACCCACCTGTTCCGCATTCTCTCTGCAGAGGCAAATTGACACGAGGAATCCGGTGCCCCCGCACCAGCTCTGAAGTAGCCGATCACTGTCACAAAGCAGGTGTTGGAGAACAAAGTGGACGATGTTTTGGTGACACCATTAAGCAACCACGTGCTCGTCATGTGGCTGTCTTTGGTCTAGTTCTGTTACAGAACAGACCAGGGGTGGGGGTGAACGATATACTATTACTGAACAGACCCACCCTTGTGCTCCGGGGGCTCCCCCCCCGTACGAGGTTCGCCTTGCCCGCCGCTGCCAGGAAAAGACATCTCTCAATGCCAGAGATGGGTGAAAAGGAAAGAGATTATTTATTTAAAGAGTTATACAAACTTAAGAGTAATGACTTAATGTCTTCATTGAGATCCGAAGGTCCTTTAGAACACCCACACACAGTCCTTCCTTCCCCCTCTGCCCAGTCTGGGGTACCGTGTCTCAGAAAAAGAAATAGAAGTCCGTGGTCCCAAAAAGACTCCGCGTGGCTCCCGTGCCTGGGTTTAAATCCCCGAGACAATCCTCTGCGGCACCATTTCCGACTCCACCCACAATTGGCCACAGCTGCCATCACCCGAGTATTCCTGCTTTCCTGGGCTGCCATAGTAAGTCCGAGCAGGTGTAGCCCTGTGGCTGGAGCCAGTCATCTCCAAGCCCTCACGCAGGTGCTGTAACCAGGGGCAGTTGCCTTGCAGTCACCTCATGGGTGGAAGTCACTCCCATCTCCCTGGTTCAAAGCATGGACACAGCTGTTTAACACATCCATGAAACCAGTGTAAAGTTAGATGTGTTAGATAACTGTTCTAGAGGTTATCTGCAAAGCTGTTGCTATTCAAAACAGCTCTCAGTGGCCTTGCTCCACGCGTCCCATTCCCCAGCTCAGACTTGTGGGGGTGAAGACATCGTGTGTGTGTGTGTGTGTGTGTGTGTGTGTGTGTGTGTGTATTTCCTGGACACCAAATTCTGGATCCCATTACAAATCCCTATTTGCCCCCCCAGCCCCCTCTTGGCTGCATCCTGTTACAGTTCAGAGGTGTCAAACTCATTTTCACCAGGGGCCACATCAGCCTTGCAGTTACCTTCAAAGGGCTGAATGTAATTTTAGGACTGTATAAATGTAACTACTTCTTAACCAGGGGCAAGGAGCACAGTGCTGCCACCGGGTGGAAACAAGGTGCTAGGTCGGATAAAACAAGGTGGAGGGCCGGACTCGGCCCGTGGGCCTGGTGTTTGCTCCTGTGGCCTGGATCCTCGATAAAGGCTGACTGTGAGGAAGGTGGGAGGCTCGTCCTTGGCTGAGTGGGGGCCCCAGGGGTGTGTGGGCGGAGCGTGCACACCTGGGGGAGGGCACAGCCACTCAGCACCTGCTGCTGGCTGGTCCCTGGGCAAGGCTGTCACCAGACTGGACGGAGAGATCCCCGAAGTGAATCCACTCAAAATGGGAACCAAATCCTCATGGTGTTAACGGTGCAGCAAGAGAATGGGAGAATTCATCTTGAACAAAATTTTCAAGTTTTCAGTCAAGGAATTTTAGGTTACGGATGCAATTATACGCCAATCTGTAGAACGGAACAGGGTGAATCCATTGTTGTTTGGGCAGGGCCACAGCTTTCCCAACAAACCAGGTGGCGGCTCACACGCCCCCTCCACACCACGTGGGGTGTCCCGGCCGCGCTGTGAGGAGCGTGGGTCTTGCTGGGGCATCCAAGGTGCTGCCCGCTGGCCGGCTCCCGATCCCCTGGCAGATATTCAGGTCACTTCGTGTAGAAGGGCTGCCCTGCCCAGCACCGCCAGGCCCTCCCACACCGGCCAGTGGCCTGAGGCTCTGTCGGAAGGTCGAGCAGTGTGACCGTTATGGGTTTCCCGGATCGTGTGCCTTCCATAGGGCTGACCCCTTGACCTTGCAGTCGGTTGGCCCTGGACTCCACAGCTTTGCAGGCCCTCCAGGCCTCACAGCCAGGTGTGCACACGTGAGGTTCTGGGGCTGCACCGGGGGGCCATCCAGGGGGACCCCGCAGAACAACGGTCCATTCGTCAGCGCAACTCCGTCCTGACGGTGTCTGTGGTCCCGTGCAGCCGCCTGACAGAGGAGGCCGGGTAAGGGAACCTGGACAGCGAGGCCCCGGGGGACGGACGTTGAAGGAGTCAGGCTCCCAGCTCCAGAGCCAACCTGTCTGGCTGAGACTCTGTGCTTGTGGGCAGCTCTCCTGTCGGCCTCCGTCGGGCCTGCCCGGCAGGACGGGACGGGAGGGCACCAGGACCTGACCGAGGCAGCCTGAGATTCAGGACCGACCCCCCCGCCTCCCGGGCCCCTCAGGAAGTGGGACCTGGGTGCTGCGTGTCGCCCCGGCCCTGCAGGGGGCTCTCTCCAGGGTCTGCCCGCGCCACCGTCACTCGGACACAACACCCCCGTCGTTTCCGTGAGACGTGGACATGGGTGCAGCCGCTGGGTCACGTGAACGATTGTCCCGCATGGGTGGCCTGGAAGAGCAGCCGGCGCCCCAGACACAGGCCCTCCGGGCGCTGGTGCGGTGTCGCGGTCCGGGGCAGCAGGGCGAGGGAGGGAGGATGCGCCCGCTGGAATTGTTTCGGGTGTGGGTGGCAGACACCCACGTGAAGCCATAGGTGGGGAGAAGGACAGACGGGCTCCCGAGGCAAAGAGGGCGGGCAGGTACACAACCGCCGCCGCCGTCTCTGCCGGGTCGCGCCGGCACCACCCTCCGACGGGCTGCCCCGGTCCGAGCCGCTGCCCCTCGGTTCCTTCCTTTGCCGGTTTTCCCAGCAGAAGTCCCTGGACGGAGTCTCCACAGACCAGCCTGGGTCCGCTCCTGTCCTTGAACCAGTCACTGTGGCCAGGGGACGGGCATGTGCCCAGCCCCAAACAGCCTGTGTCTGAGAAAACACAGGTGCGTGCAGAAGCGACTTCCCGTGCACTGGGGAGCGGAAGGCACTTCCAGGTGACAGGTGTCGAGGAGGCCGTCGTCCGGGGAGACCACGGGATGTTAGGACTCGCGTGCGCCCACCACGCCTGCCTGGGGAGCGCACTGCCCCGCCGCCCAGGGGTGCCGTCTGCCCACGCTGGGCCTTTCCCGCGTGCGGCCTCCGTGCCGGGCACACAGCCCCCCGCCACCTGGGGAGAGAGCGGCCCCGACGAGGTGTCCCAGGGGTCCGTGGGGAGGGTGGGGCGGCGTGGGACTCTAGGTTTGATGTTTCAGGTTTTGTGCTGTTATGGGAAGCTCCTTTCTCTTTATGGCCAGAAAGAAAGAAAAGGGGGAGAGAGGGAAACACGGGACCTTGCAGGCAGGGACTCTCACCCGGTGGAGACGCACCCACAGCCCCCAGGGAGACCCAGGCGCGGATCTGACCCGGGGAGGGCTGCTTAAGGAGCTAAAAGGGCCCCTTCCCCGGGGGAGAGCTGGGCCAGAGCGCCTGCGTTACCAGCACACGCCTCTAGGGGGCGGCAGAGGCCACAGAATGCTCTGGAAGGGCGGCGCAGGGGCCCGGACGAGCAGGTCCCGGAGTGTGCCCGCGGAGGAATCAAGGGGTCTAACCCCGCGGGGGAAG